TTTTAATTAAAATTTTTTTAGACGTTTTGAGAGTATCAAAATTTACATGCATATTCATCAAAACCTAAGCTACATTTTGATAAAATTTTATGTGTAGTTATTATGCGCGTTTCTGTATAATTAGTAAAAACAGGTGTCCGGATACTTTTGTCCAGGGTGTGTATATATACAACCAAAAATCAAAATTAAACATAAATGATGATCATCTACAAATACCAATTCATCTATCATTACGAATTCATCTATTCCGCCACCATCATTAACACCAGATATTTTCTGAAACATTCCTTCTGATATTGTATTGATATTCAAACCAAATGTATTCATTTTATTCGTCGACGATAATCCTTAACGAAAAAATAGTTTCTTCCCATTACTCAATGGTTAAAATGGAATATTTAAAGGATGCGCGGAGCTTTGCCTGTTACTATACTTATGCATCTTCTTTTTCTAAAATCCTAAAGTTTCGATTATAAAATACGATTAAAAACTTTGGAAATTTTGCAAAACGACAAAATCAGTAACAACAGGAAATTGGATACATCCTCTTCTTTTTAAAAAAGCGGGATATATAGGAAGTTTGATCTATATTTGGGATTAAAGCTAACTTTTTTACGAGGAGATGAAGAATCATTCTGTTGTATTGCATGTCGTTTTATCCACATGTGAATCTCGTATAAATATATATTAATATAATACATTTTTAAACAATTATTGTAATAGCGCGGAATCTCCTATTGCTGCGCTGCGCTGCAAAATTTGATTATTTTTTTAAGAGAATTTCCAAAATTCACATTATTCATGTAATTAGAAAAAAATTATTTTAAAAAATTATTTATTAATAATAATAGATTTTCTTGAGTTAGAACTGACGAATTTGCAATTTGTCAAACACTTGATAGTTAAAATCATTATCAAAAGCATTAATTCGTTGTCAGGTGATAATTCAGATTCATCTTCTGAACCAATTATTATCTCAGAGTCATAAACTGTTTATTCTAGAGTTTAAAGAATTGTTATCAACAAAATCTTGATGGTTTAGAGACTTTTACATTTTTTTAATAGATTATTTTGATATTTAGGAGGAGTTGTAAAGCATTACTTTACATTTCAATATATAATTAAAATCATAATTTATTTGAACACGTGCGAAAAATGAATTAACTTTGAAATGATTCTTTGTGAATATAAGAAACCCACAATAAATAATTTTTTTTTCCCAAAATCTTTCCATTACATTAAAGCTAGAGGGCTAATCTATCAATCTATGGAGTTAAACTTTTAAAATACTTGAGTCATATGTTTTCAAAAGTCATACAAAATCTAGGAGTATCTCGTTATAGAATGAGGTATGAACCACTAATTGTAATGTTTACATCTTTAAGATGGAATTTTGATTCCTTAAAATCAGCTTTATCATTCTTTTTGAAGATGATTCTTTTTCAATATTAAAAAATCAATAAGTTTATTAATTAAATTTTATTATAATATTAGATGATACTAGCATTCCAAAAATATAAAATCTGAAGTTGAATTTTATTTGACACTGCAAAAGAAGAAAATCCACTCCTTTTGTGGAATCAGAAAAAAGTAGTCCTACCAAATCTAGCAGTTCAAGCTAGGGTTTATTTAGCTATACCAGCAACCTCTGTTCCATCTGAGAGGTTGTTTTCCTCAGCTGGTAATGTCTTCACAAAAAAAAGAAATAGATTGAACCAAAATAATTTTCATAATATACTGTTTTTGAGAGAAAATTATAAACTTTTTGATCAATAAGTTGGTTAATTTTTTTAATTTTTATATTAATTGATTTTTTATTATGTTTTAATTGAATTTTTCAATAAGAATAAATAATTCATTTGATCAAATGTTAGCTGGCTAGAATTTTTTACCATATTCATCAGCAGTGATTTTATTTATTTTTGGATACAAATTTCTGATTGGCCAATTTAAATTTCACACACAACATTTAGTAAAATAATAAAAAACCCCGATTTTTAGTGAATTCATACAAAGTATGACATTTGTCTACTAAATTATTAGATAAAAATTTTATTCAAGTTCTTAGCCAGCTTAGCTGGCTAAGGTTTTTCTACTGGCTAACATCACTAGTTGGATGATTAGAAATGCTACACAATAAGAAAATCTATTAAATAATATAATTTATGGTTATATATATATATATATATATATATATATTAGAAAAGTGATCTTTGCCTTGACTTTCAAAATCCTATGTATTAAAAATAAGCAAACTATTATTAATGTTATATCTATAAAGCACCAAAAAATATATAATATATAAAGGCCTAACTCTACAGTAAGCCTCGTTTCATCATATAAAATTTATTGAAAAGCAATTAATATCTTGTCGGTTTCCTCTACTTTCTAAAACAGCATCAACCCTTCGTGGCATACTATCTATTATTTATTAATTTTTTTTGTCCATAAATTGAGAAATAATATGGCAAACTTCATGAAATTCTGCAAATAACTAATTTCGAACATGAGACACATTTTTTACTTATACCACAAAGGTCATTAGAACTTGCTATTGCAGTCAATTTTTGAGTCAAACATTTTTCAGAAAATTCTGAAATTTTCATTTTTATCTTTTAAGGTTTGTAAAACTAGTGGTTGTATCTGCCAAATGATATTCACCAATTATTCACCAATTATCTGGTTAATTGGGTATTGAAAAATTTTCATTGATTAATTAATCGGGTGTTGAAAATTTCACCAAATAATTGGTGAATAATCAGTGGTACAGATAGGGTTGTTAATGGAACATAATGGGTTGGGTTGGGTTCATATTATAGTGGAGCAAAGGTTAACCCAACCCAACCCGGGTTAAATGTACTGGGCTAATACTCCATGGGTTACTCCGGGTTACTCAGGTTGCTCCATGGAGTAATAATTATAATTATTAAAGTAAAAAAAAATTATATCTGATTTTTAAATTATAATATTTTTAAAACTTGCATAGTAATATCAAATATAATTATATATTTTGATTCCAAACTTAATTTCCTTTTTATTAAATGTTTAAAAATTGAATAATAATTGTAAAAATAAAATTTTACTTGAATTAAATTTTCAAAAAAAAAACTTAGTTTTACCGCCATTCCCCCAACCACCACCCTACAAAAAATAGATCTTTATATAATTTTTTATCACGTAAATAATCATAAAAATAATTATTCAAAAATTATAAATTTGATCACATAGATCTATTATTAAATATAGATTTATGTACTACTGTTTTAAAAGATTAGATATTAGAAATATTTAATAATAAAATAATAATAATAAACTATAATATTAATTATTAACACTCCAAAAAAAAAGATTCTTCAAACTTATCACTTTCTTTTTTATCTCGAACTTGTTGAATCCAACTTTTTAAACACATAACTGCACGTGTGGTTTCAGGTTTCAAATTACATCGAATCTTGGTAATTGTATTTGATGCCATGGAAAATGCTTGTTCTGAGGGTACACTAGAACCTTGAATACTTAAATAACATAATGCTATTTGTGAAAGAATAGGAAAATCTTTTTCAAAACGTTGCCACCATTCTAATGGATTAGTATTAATAATAGGTGCTGATATATATCGAGTTATTTCATCATCTGTAGGTCTTTCTTCAGAAGTTTGATCAGTAAGAAGAAATTCAAAATATGATCTTTTATTTTCTTGTGATTGTGTATTAATTCTAGTGTTTCCTAATTGATTATTAATTTTATATAATGGCATAAGGTTTTGTAATGATGAAATTGCTTCATCACATTTATCATAATCTTGAAATGTTTTTGTTTTAGATCATGGATCTAATAAGGTAGCAATTGTTGTTGATTCTTCTATATTTTTCCAATATTCTTTTAATTTAAAACTAATTGAATTAGCCATTACACAATCTTCTAAATTATTTTGATTTTGAATAAAAGATTCTAGATGTCGAAGTAATCCAATAAAAATTAATTGTACATCACTTATTGTTGGATAAGTTGATGATGATAATATTTCTGTTGCTAAAAATATTGGTTCAAGTAATTGAATTATATTTTCAATATTTTGCCATTCATTATCTTGTATATAAAAAATTCCTAATTCCTGATTTTTTGCAACAAGAATATCTAAAATATTTCTCATTCAATGAAATTTGTTTAACATTAAATAAGTACTATTCCATCAAGTTTCTACATCTAAATCTGGTTTTAATTCTGGAATCTTTTCAAGTTGACAAATTGTTCTTATTGAATCACTAAGTCTTGTTGATTGTCAAATCTTTACTATAAAATCTCTAACCTTTTTTATAATAGGATCTGATAATTGCAAACCATGTTGAACTGCAATATTTAAAATACGTGCAGCACAACGTTGATGAACAAATTCTTGATTTTCTAATTTTATTTTAAGCTCTCTAGCTGCTGCAATCATAGATTGTGCATTATCCATTGTAATTCCTAATAATTTTTTAGTAATTTTTGCATCATCTAAAGCTTGTAAAATTAATTGTTGAATTCGAACTGCTGAATGTGATCCTGGAAAATATAAAAGATCAAGTAAAAAATGTTGTAATTTCCAATTATGATCTATAAAATGAACTGTAATGCCAAAATATGATTTAATCGTAATTGAACTCCAAATATCACATGTAATTGATATTTTTTTTGTTTGTGAAAGTTCTTGTAAAATTTTTTTTTTCATATTATTATAATTGTTTATTATTTCTGATTTAATAGTTTGTCTACATGGCACTTGGTAACGTCCATCAAAAGTATTTAACATTGTAGTAAAATATGGATTATCCACAATAGCAAAAGGAAGTTGACAACAAACAATAAAATCTACAATTGTATTTGTAAGTTGTTGATATCGTTTTTCTGATTTTGCATATGGTTTAGGTGCAAATTTATCTAAAGTACTCTGTACTTTTCCAATTTTACTATAGTGTTCTGTAGTTAGATGTCTCGCAAGTGTACCAGATGGCTTATACCGATTTTTACATATTATACAGGTATATGTAATAATTTCTTGTTTATCATTATATTCTTTTGAAAAAAATTCCCAAACCCAAGAAGTTTTGCATGAAGTGTTTGATGAATTAGATTCATTTTCTTGTATAGTATTAGTTGTACTTGTAGTAGCTGTACTTGTAGTAGTTA